CCCCACTTACTGCATTTCTACCTTCATCCCCTCTGTCTTCATTCACATTACTCCAGTCACTATCAATTTCTAGGATATAAAGCCTTCTTTGTCTCCTATGTTGTGTAGCAAGACTTGAAGTGGATGGCTACTGAACTGTCACTTGCTGTACTCCTGGTCTTACTACAATTGTTGTTCCCTTCAAAAACCAGAAAAAAAGATAATTATTTCTCTCCTCAATGTTAGTGGCGTCTTTATCCCACAATATTTACTGTATTTTACAGCAAGAAATGTTGGCATGTACCATGTTTAATGGGTGATATTGCCTATAATAACCTGCTCAGACCTATATGTCCTGGATTTTTTCCAAGGAGGGACAATGGAAATAAATGGTATGAAATATTGATACAGTGGAAATATAAACACATAAGCGGTATAATGTGATCCTTTATTGACAATGTTTCGCCCACACAGTGAGCTTTATCAAGTTTGTGACTTGATAAAGCCCACTGCATGGGTGAAACATTGTCAATAAAGGATCACATTACACTGTTAATGTGTTTATATTTCCAAGGATGGACAAGGTATCTAGAGACCTGAACAACACTGCCAAGGCCTAATATGGTGATATGCAGCAGATTTGAGGCCTAGAAAAATTGTGTACCAGTACATTACATTGAACACATCCTCCCCAATTGTACATTGAACACATCCTTGCCACCTTCATACTGGTACACCGAAAACACCAGAGTCACCTGTGTATTAGTACACTGAACACACCCTTGTCACCTGTGTACTACTACACTGAACACACCCTCGTCACCTGTGTACTACTACACTGAACACACCCTCGTCACCTGTGTACTGGTACACTGAACACACCCTCGTCACCTGTGTAGTGGTACACTGAACACATCCTCGTCACCTGTGTACTAGTACACTGAACACACCACAATCACCTGTGTACTAGTACACTGAACACACCCTCGTCACCTGTGTACTAGTACACTGAACACACCCTCGTCACCTGTGTACTAGTACTACACTGAACACACCCTTGTCACCTGTGTACTAGTACACTGAACACACCCTCGTTACTTGTGTACTAGCACACTGAACACTCCCTCGTCACCTGTGTACTAGTACGTACATTGAACATACCCTTGTCACCTGTGTACTAGTACACTGAACACACCCTCGTCGCCTGTGTACTAGTACACTGAACACACCCTTGTCGCCTGTGTACTAGTACAGTGGTCCCTCGCTTTTCGTAGTTCTCGGCAATCGTAAATTTCGCCAATCATAGGGGTATTTTCGTATAAACATGGACTCGCTTTTCATAGGTTGACTCGCGAATAGTAGTTCGTCCAGGACGCTTACGCACGATGCGAGCAGGGGAGGCCTCCCTACCCAGCCAGTCTGGCATTGTTTACCAGTGAGTGAAGGTCCCCTCAAGTGTTCCTATGAAATATATCATAATATTCCACTCATTTTAGTGCTTGCAAGTACTAAATAAGCTACCATGGCTCCAAAGAAAGCTCCTAGTGCCAAGCTTGTGGTAAAGAAGGTGAGAAATATGTACAGTGACAAAGTCTTGTACCATTTTAGGGAAGTGTTAAAGAGACACCAGAAACAGAGCTTTCTCCACAGTTACTTTGCGAGACAGGACTAGAGTGACTCTCAAGGTGGTCCTAGTGGCATTAAGAAACAGAGAAGAGAAGCAATTGGTACCTGAGGTGTTGCTGGAAGGGGATTCCCCTTCCAAACTGTAAACAATCCAATCTCTCTCCTCCTCCAGTCTCCCATACACTAAGAAGAATCTCCAATAAAGGTAAGTGTTATGCTGTTAATGTTTCATTCATCATTTCCCATTGTATTGTTTATGTACTACATGTATATTTCATGTAAAAAATTTTTTTTGTTTTAATACTTCTGAGTGTCAGAAATGGATTAATTGTATTTACATTATTTCTTATGGGGAAAATTGATTCGCAAATCGTAAATTTCGTTTATAGTAGCTCCTCCAGGAACGGATTAATTACGAAAAACGAGGGACCACTGTACACTGAACACACCCTCGTCACCTGTGTACTAGTACACTGAACACACCCTCGTCACCTGTGTACTAATACGTACACAGAACGTAGCTTAACGGTTAAACTACTTGTGCATTATACGACCCATACAGGTTTGGGGCTTGTTTTTTAATATAATGATAGTAATGTAGGTAATAATTTTGTGTGCATGTAGGAGGGTGTTGTTGAGATGGTTTGGTCATGTAGAGAGGATGGAGCAAAATAGGATGACTTGGAGGGTGTATAAATCTGTAGTGTAGGGGAGGAAAGGTAAGGGTCATCCTAGGAAAGGATGGAAGGAGAAGATAGAGAGGTTTTGTGTGCAAGGAGCTTGGACATACAGCAGGCATGTGTGTGTGTTAGATAGGAGTGAATGGAGACAAATGATTTTTGGGACTTGATGAGCTGTTGGAGTTTGATCAGGGTAATATTTTGTGAAGGTATTCAGGGAAACTGGTTAGCCGGACTTAAGTCCTGGAAGTGGAAAGTACATGTACAGTGCCTGCACTTTAAAGGAGGGGTTTTTGGTATTTGCTGTTTGGAGTGACATCTGAACTGTCATGTCTGAGTGCCTCTGCAAATACAGTGATTGTGTAAATGATGGTGAAAATGTTGAATGCTGGTGACAGTACATATTTTTCTTTTTTAGGTCACCCTGCCTCGGTAGGAGACAGCTGATGTGTTAAAAAAAATAAGTCTGCTAATGCACACTGTAGAAATAGCTGGGCCAAGAGCTTTAACAAGGCCATCTACTCTGTACTAGCATGAAACTGTAAAATATATTTAAAATTCTATAATAATTGTAATCTTTGCATCATTGAATCTCCTGTACAGTAGAACCTCGATGAACGTTTGGGACTTATTATTTTGATGGCTGGAATATGAATTAACATTATATCTGGGGATTTAAAACAAACACTGTGGAGCAAGTCTGGAATGTTAAACTGTCAAGTCTAACCTGTGAGCTGAGAGATGTGCTTCCCTCAGCCCAGTGAGCATTCTATTGTTAACACACATACTGCATGTCTGTGTTATCTCTTTATTCATGCTCAGTAAAAAAAGTTTTTGGGAAATGAGCACAGAAAAAGAGACACTACCTTTTTATGCAGAACTGTAATACAGTATAGTATAAACACTGACTGAGAATTTAAAGTGAGATAGGAACTGAAAATATCAAATATATATTTTGTATAATGACTGAGCCTTTACTTGGTATTGATGTATGGAAATCAGTGGAACAGTTGTTGTCAAAACAAAATAATGTAAAACTTCCATGAGAAAACATCTTTCTTAATAAATTTTTGCCCTCATTTACCATTTTTGCTTTCAGTGTGGATTAAGTACACTAGAGAGTGAGTTAGTGAGTGCAAGTGTGTGTGAGAGAATGCAAGGGATTGAAAGTGAGAGTATACATACACGGAAGTTTTCACAATGAGTGAAATAATGAAAGAAAAGCATGCTTGCTTGATCTTTGCCACAAAATAAGTTATGTTAGATACCACTTGCATTCAGTGATGGTAATAAAATTTCAGTATGAATGATGAAGATTTACCAAACAGTTTCACTACAACTTTAGTCATTTGCACTTGCTGCCTATTTCTTCATAAAGTGAGCTTAAGGTAATGTTTTCCATTTAACTAAATTGAGCTGCTTATGATTAAATGATACATTTTTTAAATCCTAAATTCCTCTTTTGTACATTATACTTTATAAAATTTCTCGCATGAACCTTCAATTTCCTAAGGAATAATATTACACAGGTTATATAGAAGCATGCCATGGTAATGAAAGGTTTCATTTGTTATATACTCTATTTTCATTCTTGCATGTGTGGTTTAATTAACCATTTTCTGTCAGTTTGCTTTTAAGATTTGTATTCTTTGTACAGGCTTTTACACACCAATACATTGACTTTGTAAATGAACAACTGTTGAAGGTTGGTGATAGTAACTCTTGATATATAAATCACTTGTAAAGTAGTGTACAAAATCCTCTCATTAAATTGTAATTTTAACGACTTTATTTTCAGTGATTATTGTAGAATAACTGTAAACTGTGTATACAGTACTATATTAGGTATACAGTAGAATACATGTATATAATTGTTTTTTTTTTTTGTTATTTTTAAACATTATTCTGATTTAACACACACAGACTTCCCCTTCTTCTTCCTTCCCTGGTTGATATGTTAAGTTGAAGGTGTATTTTGCTCTATTATTCTTGCTGGTCGCTTCAGTTTCTTATATTACAGCATAATCACACAATATTATTATATACAGTGGACCCTCGTTTTTCAAGAGTTCCGGAAATCAAGTAATTCAGATTTAGAGCATTTTTTTCAGCAAAATTTCATCCTGGATTTCAAGTGTTTGATTTGCTTCCACCCCGTCGGTGATGCCACTTCCTCACACACACCACACTCAGTCTGTCTCTCGTTGGGTAAGGAATACTCTGTGGGTTCATCTGTTCACTTTGGTGCTTGTTTATTGATTGTGACTGTGAAATAAGCCACCATGGGACCAAAGAAAGTTCAGAGTGCCAGCCCTTCAGTAAAGAAAGTGAATAAACACGAGGGGGATTCCTTTTCCAAACAATAAGTCCTCCCTCACTCCTCTTCCCTGTCTTCCTTATGCCAACAAGAGTCTTCAGTACGGGTATGTAATGTTTATACTATTTATTTATAGTTGTTTTGTGTATATAAAACTATAGTTAATCCTTAAAAAAAAATTTTGTGAATATTTTTGGGTGTCTGGAACGGATTAATTGGATTTACATTATTTCTTGTGGGAAATGTTAATTTGGTTTTAGAGCATTTTGGATTTAGAGCAACCTTCTGGAATGGATTAAGCTTGAAAACCAAGGGTCCACTGTAAATAGTTTCATTGTTTACTTATTCAGAATAGTATTGAAAAACTTTTATTTTTACAATAATGTTGTATTTTTCAGGCTTTTTATGACCTGACCCGTCTGATCTCTGCCAGCAAGCAACAGGCAGACAGTCCAGCTGAGGCTGAGAACAAGCCCACCAAGTGTTGCTGCATCTCATAGTGACTCCATCACTAAATCTTCATTGCCATACATCAAATTTGTCGGTACCACCTATCCAAGATATCAGCCTGAAACACACTTAAACTGTCTATTATTAATATTTTGAAGACCAGTTCTTAAACTTTTTTTTTTCTTTTGTGTGTGTATGTGTGTGTGTGTACTGTAGCAGGAATTACTTAATACAGGTGCAATTTTGTACTCACTGTTAGACTTGCTAACAACTTGAGTATATAGTTACTGCCACATTTTTATTTTATAAACTTAAAGAAAAAATGTACTGTATTAATTTATATGGAAAAGGATTGACATTGTACACCTATTGTGATGGACACTTTTATCTTTCCATTTTTATATTTTCTAACCCATTTTGTTTGGGGTGGTAAAGAATTATATCTTCATTGATGATTCATCTATCTCTTAGATGAATTTGCCCATTGACTGCATGTATCCACATTTGTTCAACAAATGAATAACCAGACATTAGTTTGAACATCATTGTCTGATAATATTCTTTTCCATTTAATATACTCATAGTGCTAAGTGTGCCTCATGTATTGTACAAGTTTGACCTACATTATATATTTTACTATTTATCAGTTTACTGCTGATGGGTATAAGATATGAGGTGATGAAATCTGCAAGATATGGGTCAGTAGATATAATTAATCTATCAAAGACAGAGCTCAAAAGATATTCATAGATTTTGTTGATAAAAATTCTTAATGAATTGTCAATATTAAGTTTTGATCATTCCTTGTGTTATTTTTTTTTCCTCATTTTTTTGGCAAAATATTTGTTTTCAAATAAGTTAATGAGCATGTCAGTGCCCTCCCATTCAACTTGAAGAGCTTAATAATATACAGTACTACAGATTGTGATTCAGGTACTTTGAAATTTGGCTGATTTACTAAGCCTTGCACAGTTGTCCCAAAGAATTTTCAAGCATATATTTCTGGCTACTAAGGAAAGTTACTCTTGAGTGGGATTGGATTTGTTTTGCATTCCAAAGACCATTTCCATTCCTTCTGCTTAAGACTTAAATCATTCATTACTACTTTACACATGAGAAGCAACAGTTCTTTGTAGGTTTTGTGTCTTAGCTATGACCAGCATGTGTGTCATGTATCATACCTGTACTCTCACTCACTCACTGTCTTCACAAACTCTACTGGAACACCAAGGTCTCTTGCCTGGTTAATCATAACATCAATTTTTTGAGACATTAGATACATATTTTCACTTATTTATATTTTCTGTTTTTGAACATTATAAAATATTATTGTTGTTGTGATTAATTTAAGCTAGTTATTAACCAGGTCTTCAAAGTTCAGGGGTTGTATAATTTCATTCTTACCTGTAAGAAGTGGAATGTAACATGATACAAAGAATTACACCACTTTTCCTGTGCCTTTCATTTATTCTTTAAAAACAGTTCTAAGTAAAATTTGCCATTGCTGTCAGATTATGGGATAGTCATTATTTTAATCATATTTTCCTGTTAACAATCATTTTCCTATTTTACCTTTTATCAGAATATAGAATTTCATTATTAAATCTTCATGAAAAAAAGTAAAATATGTTTTTTTCAGATTGATTTAGTAGACATCAAGTCTTGTAATATTGAAATATAATTACCATTTGCATTAAAAATCAAGTTTTCATATGTGCATAGCATTATCATGCTACTTTTTCCTAGAAAATAATGTGGGTACTCAGATAATTCTGTTTCCATTGTGTATCTTTGGGTAAATTAACAAGTATATTTCAGATTGCTGTAACCTTCCATGATACATTTATTTTTAGGTCGAGTGGCATGGCACCACTACTTTCATATAACTTTTGGTAGTAAGCCTTCATGTGATGTGCAGATGTTTGTTGCAACTGTAAATCGTCCCTTATAAAATATAAAAACCAAAAGTTGCAAATTACTTTTCAGTTATACAACTCACTTTCTATGATCTGTGGAAAATAACAAATTCCATATGCCTTGCTTAACCCTTTCAAGGTCCGTGCCTTAGTACTATGACTTTGAGCTCAGGGTCTGTGCTGTTGAGCTACCTGATGTGCTCAACTCACTCAGATAAGCTGTGAGCGGTAAATTTTGGCCTAGATAAGAGAGAGTGGGTCTATGCGGTGAGTGTGCACCATAAAATAAAAAAAATCCTGCCCCACACAGTGCATAATGGGAAAAACAAAACTGTAACCACGTGTATGGCTGAAAATAGTGAATTTGTCATGTATTTTCGGATGATTTTCTTAAACTGATTGGGTTCAGGACTGAGAGTAGCTGAAACTGAGTTCAAAGTAGCAGAAATACTCAATTTTTGCCAGTATTCCAGAGGACACAAATCACGTTACTCATCCAGTACACATCCAGCTGGTCAGTGTAATACCTATTCATGAATGTACTGACATTATTTATACAATTACTATGTACAATAATGCAGTAGTCTACATAACAGTAAATAGTCTATTTTTAGTGGATACAAATTCAAAATAGAAAGCAAGTGTAATATAGGAGAGGCCTGGGGATATAACTAATGAACACAGGAAATATTGTTTTAGTGCCAGGAATGTCTATTTATTCTGGACCTTATTTTTAAACTGGCATTTTTTTTTAACTTTGTGTGAAATTGGCCAAATTATTGATTTCTGATCACTTTATTAGGTAGTTTCTTGTGTTTAGTCAATAGACTGGAAGGTGTACTAGTGAAATAGCTAAGATTTGGTTGACTGAAACAATGGAATTAGCCTAAAATAGGACTCAAACTGGGTGAAATTGCCAGTGCATAAATATCGCCGAGACCGCAAACTTTGCGAAAACAAAATTCCATAATTTTTCCATCAAATTTCTTGCTTTTGGTGTCATTATCTTTGGAAAAAGATTCTTAACCATTTCATGTTTTTTTTTTTTTTGGGGGGGGGGGGGGTGGGTGAAAATTTTTGGACCTTGAAAACAAGTTTCAGATTGGGGGTCTGGACCCTGAAAGGGTTAATAATGATTATCAATATTATTATAACAGTTGTAGATTAGGAAGACTTCCTTTCTCATTGTTGTGGTTACATTTTATATATCCCACCGCCTCGGTGGGATACGGCCGGTGTGTTGAAAGAAAGAAAGATATATATATATATATTTCGATATACCAATTCTGAGGACTGGAGCTGAAGTGCTTGATTAAAATGCTTTGTTACAGCACCTGAAAAGCTCTGTATTAGAGGTGGCTCAATGACTGAATAAAACTTCACTAAAGTTATACATGCACTCATTAACTATTATCAGCAGTTTTCATAAGTATTCACTGTAAACTTCTAAACATACACTGCATGTACATAACATGATTCATGGTGCAAATTTATTAATAATAATTATTATTAACTGTAATATTATTTTCTTTAACATGACATATAGCTTAAAAAAGTCAGTTCTTTACTATTCACAATAACACCAGTGACAGTAGATCTACAAATAAATGCCACAGTTAGATTATGTGAGTTACAAGAGAGGATTTAGTTTTGATTGTAATATTAATAAAAGGTTGGTGACACAAGTTTCTGTATAGAGAGGAAATCATATTATGGCATTTATTTATAAAATCCAGGATTGTTTTAACGAATCCAACTTTGCAACGTAATATCACTATATACATTATATATATATATATATATATAAATATATATTATATAAATATATAATTATATACATGTATGTATATATATATATACAGTGGACCCCCGCTTAACGATCACCTCCAAATGCGACCAATTATGTAAGTGTATTTATGTAAGTGCGTTTGTACGTGTATGTTTGGGGGTCTGAAATGGACTAATCTACTTCACAATATTCCTTATGGGAAAAAATTCGGTCAGTACTGGGACCTGAACATACTATGGGAAAGAAAAAAGTTCGTTAACCTGGGGTCCCTGTCTGTATGTATGTATATATGTAATATATATATATATATATAATATATATATAAATATATTTAAAATATAATATATAATATATAATTATATATATATATGTATATAATATATATTTATATTTATATATTATATTATATAAAATTATGTTTTTATATATATATATTAATATGTATATATATTATGTATATATTATATATATGTATATATATTATATATATTATATTTTTTATATATTATATTATGTATATATATTATGTATATATATTATGTATAATATATTATATATTTATATGTATATATGATATATATATTATATTATATTTTATAAAATTATATTTATATTATATATGTATTATATTATATATATTATATATATATTATATATATATTATATATATTGTATATATATATTATATATTTATATGTAATATATATGTATTTTATATATATATATATATATATATATATGTTATATTTTTATATTGTATATATATATTATATTTTTATGTATAATTTATATATTATGTATTTTTTATAATATATATTTTATATTATATGTATATTATATATATGTATATATATATTATTTTATATTATATATATAATATATTTTTATATATATTTATATATGATATTTTATATATGTATATATATATATAAAATTATATATATATATATATATTATATTTTTAAATATTTATATATATTTATATATATTATATATAATATTTTATTTTTATATATGATATATATAATATATAATTATTATATATTTATTATATATATATATTATTATATATATATATGTTTTATATATTATATATATATATTTTTAAATATATATTATGTATTTTATATTATTATATATATATGTATATTTATATTTTATATTTTGTATATATATATATATATTTTATTTTATATATATATATATTATATTATATATTATATGTAAAATATATATATATATATATATGAAATATTATATATATATATATATTTATATATGTATATATATATATATATATTATATATATGTATAATATATTTTATATATTTTAATATGTATTATATATATATTATATATATATGTAAATATATATATATATATTAATTATAAATAATTAATTTTTAATATTTATTATAATATATTTATATATATAATATTATATTATATTTTATATATTTTTAAATATATTATATATATTTATATATATATTTTAAAAATTTTTTTATATTTATATTATATATATATATATTTATATATATATATATAATTTATTAATTATTATTTTAAAAAATTTTCCATTTCATTGAAATTTTTTTTACTTTAGCTCATTGAAATGACTTTTTTTTTACCCACCAAAAAAATTCTAAATAATTATTTCGTTCTTTATCCCTCAGTTTCCCGTGTGGAGTTGCTAGAAAAGAAATAAGGTAGATTTTTAAGGGGGAAAAAACTATTAATGCTTTGAAAAAACCTTAGTCATGGTGTAATCCCGGTTTTTTTCCCAAATTAAGCACTAGTGTCATTCCCCAGGGGCCTGATTAGTTCTCTTTAAACAGTAGCTACTGTACTAGTGTCATTAAAGGGGCTGTTGTACAATTTCATTACAAACACCATATTTGACAATGTATCATAGATCATTTCAAACATTGGGTTTGTAAAAAGTTCTGCTTTTTTTTCCCTTTTTTAACAAGTTTGTACATGATTATGTAATATATGTCCAAAAAAATTTTAATTTTTATTTTTCCTTTCTTTAATACTTAATTTCATGATATTTTTTATAAACTATGGATAGTTCCCACAGCTGGGGAAAGGGGTTTTAATCAAGGAATGAAGTTTTCCTCTCCTCAGACAAACCGATTCCCTTCCATTCCCAGGCACTATAGACCTTTATAGTTTTTCCCAGTGATTAAAAAAATTTTTCTTTTTCAACACCGGCCGTACCCACCGGAGGGGTGGTCAAAAGGAAAATTTTTCCCTTTTACTTTTAGTTATATACGGGAAAGGTTTTTACTACCCCTTCTCCGGGAATTTAGTCGCCATTTTACGACCGCATGGCTTAGGGAGGAAGAATTTTTTACGCTTCCCCATGGAGATAAGAAAAAATAAACAAAAAAAAAAGAACTTTACTAACACAACAACACAAAAAGTAGTAGTGAACGAGCAAGATCCCCTTCGGGCCCAAAAAGCTCGGCCGCAAGGCACGCCCGGGCCCCTGCTGTTTTCATCCTCATAGTAAACAAAAAAAACCCCCCCTTTCCCAACTTTTGTTCATCTTTTCCCGATGCATAAAAAACATAAAACACTATGGTAGGGGACACTGAAAAAGACGGGAAAAACATTAAACAGGGTTTGCCAGGGGGCATGGAGAAAAACATACTTTCAGGGGTGAAGAGATGTCCCGGGGGATTTCATTGTTTTACGTAAAGTTTTCGATACAGCCGGCTGAACTGCTGTACTCCAAATTAACGCACTATGGTATGAGGCCACTCCTCAATCCCAAAAAACATACCTTAACAAAAAACCAATTATGTTGCAAATATGCAAACTCTTCCCCCCAACCAATCACGCAGGAGTCCCAAAAGGGAAAGCATCTTGGCCACTCCTTTTTCTCATCTAACAATGTCTACCAAATGCTCAAAAACTATCAAACCATATTATTTGCAGATGTCAAACCATGTCTTTTCCCCCCAAAAACACGGTCTACTGCAAACACAGTCAATGCCGTTTGCGAAAATTTCTGTTTGGATGTGAAAATTAAACTTCCCTGAATAGTTAAAACCTATTTCATTCATTTTGGAAAACAAAGCTGAAATGATCCGATTAAATAAGCTACTGGTTCATCATCCAAGACAGAGGGAAAAATTCCCCAGGTATCCACCTTGACAGTCCCTTTAAGTCGGACCTTTTTCAACAAATCCCAAAAATCCCCAAAGCTGGGCATACTATCAAAGAATACTAAAATTCCCAAATCAGCTCCTTGGCATGTCCATCCCTTTCATTCCCCTTTTATCTTATTTTGGAATTTTTCCGGGGGTAAAACAAACCCAACACCAAAAACCCCTAAAAAACCCAGCAAAAGCACGAAAGAATGATGACAATTTCCCCTCCGCCAGCAACTCCACCAAATCTTAAAAGTCTGAATCGTTCCCCCTTTAAGAACATCCATACTCTTTATGTCCTACTAAACACAGAACAATACAGAATATAAACCCTCCATAAAACTTCTTTCCCCACTTAAAAGGCAATGACCAAAACCCAAAAGAACAGATTTTTTTTTGTTTACCTTGTCCATATCACACTTTTTAAAAACTCTTGTACAAAAGGGCCCAAAAATTGGAATTCCTTAACAAAAAATTTTAAAGAAACCCCAGTCTGAAAAATCAGTTTGACTTTCTCAAAGCCATTTAATCACCCAGACAAAATGACATATCAGTACAACATACTCACCTATGTACTCCCCCCAAATTTCAACATACTTTGAACCTTTTTTTCCATTGTTGACAGGAATTAATTGAACCATTTTTTTCCCAAAAAAAGCTTTTGAATGAATCAGGGGCCCCCCGGTTAACGATTTTTTCACTCAGAAGTATTTCGGGTCCCAGTCTGACCGAATTTGTTCCCTAAAAAAATTATTGGAATAGATTAGTCATTTCAGCCCCCCAACATACACTTAAAACCACTTACAAAAAACTTACAAATTGTCACTTTCGGAGGTAATCGTTTGGGGGGTCCACTGTTACCTTTTGTCTTATAAAATTTAATTCACAAAAATTAAATAACTTTTTAAAACTTGAATTTAATTATGCCCACTGTAAACTTGATAAAACCTTAGTGTTAAGTAGTCGTAGCCAAAAAATTTAGTTGGCCCTAATCCC